CTCTCTCTCTCTCTCTCTCTCTCTCTCTCTCTTCCCTCTCTCCTCTCTCCCTGACCTGCCTTCCTGAACAAAGTCTCCTGTTGGACTTCTCAGTATGTGGCCTAGTTGTTAAGCATCACTGTTCTTCTACACCTGGTACCAAAAAAAAAAAAAGAAAGAAAGAAAAAAATTAAACTATGGGGGCTAGAGATGTAGCTCAGTGGCAGTAATGAGTTCAATCCCTGCTATTAAAAAACAAAACAAAACAGAAAAAGAATATGAAACTATGACTATTTTCTTGATATACTTAAAACAATAGATTTTTTTATTTCAAATACTTTTAATTTATAAATTAAATGGATAATGATTGCAACATCTTCAGAAAGAAAAAATGCAAATTTGCAAATTTAGTCAATTAAAAATAAGTTTTTTCATAAAAATATTAGACATGTACAAGCAACATAGAGCATATGTGATAAATAAGTCATAAGAAAAATATTATATATTTGAAAATGAATTTTTTCATTCCAGATCAGGTGGTGCATATATATAATCCCAGTATCTGGGAGGCTGAGGCAGAAGGATCCCTGTGAGTTTGAAGCCAGTCTAAGTTACACATTGAATTCAAGACCCAGCTGAATTATATAGCAAGATCCTGTCACAAATCATCAAAAAATTAATTTAGCTGACACAATTTTGACAAAAAAAAGAAAAGATATGTACTACTATATTCAGTAGTCTCAGTTGCAATACAGTGTCACCTAAGTGATTTTTTTAATCATCATAATCATCTTGCTTTCCTGTTAGAATTGAACTACTTGTGCAGTATAAAAGCCTTTACTGTTATGAGCCTTAATAAGCTTCACTTGCAATAGCTACTCTCGCTTCTCCATCCATCATTCACTCTAGTCATGAGAAACACCCCATTCCCCAACACTACACTCACTGCAGCACATCTCCTCACACAGGCCCAGGGTGGAGACTATTCCACAAAGTCTTTTCACCTGACAAGCTCTTACTTAGTTTTCAACACTCGCCAAATAGAATTCCCTCTGAAAAGTTCTTTGCCCTTCCCTCTTCTTCAGAAAAGAAATGATCTTTTTCTTTGGTACTGAACTCAGGCCCTTGCACTTACCAAGCAGATACAGCACCACTGAGCTACATCCTGGCCAGGAAAAATAATCTTTTTCTTTTAGTTTCCATAATACTATATACTTTTTGCTTGGTCCTTCATCCAGTCAATAATTATTGTTTAATTAGCCATGTAATATAGTACATGTCATGTAAATAAAACAACCACGTTACTACCCTCATAAGCTATCAGAGATGGAGACATTAAATGAAGGGTTGTTATGAAGTGAATGCTATAACTAACTACAGGAAATATGGCTTTTATACATAATAGAGGTTTTTCTGCATATCTTACTCAACACCCACAATTTAAAGGATGTGTGTTTTATTCTGGCTCACAGGCTCCAAGGCAATAATGGGATAGCAAGAGGGTTATAGCAGCCAGGAAGCAAAAAGTGGAGGTAGCTGGGGAGGGAGATGCACCCTTCTAGGTCACACCCTGAGGGACTGCCTCTTCCAACCAGGCCTCACCTCCTAACAGCACAGTCAGCTACTGAACTCATCACAGGAGGAGTCCACTCATGAATAGAGCACCCAGTGACCCAATCCCATTCCAAAAGCCTCACCTCTGAACACATGAGTCTTTGAGGGACTTTCTAGATCTCAGCCCCCTCTGGGAACGAGCTGAATTCTGAACAATCAGAAGAAAAAGTCAGCCCAACAAACAGAGGGGAGACAAACATCTCAGGGAGAGGAAAGAGTGCGCAAAATGAGAGGGAAGATGGTATGCATTCATGCAAGGAAGGCTTCGAAGTCCAGTGTGCAGCAGCAGACAGTTGGGGGAAAGAAGGCAAGTGGGTGATACTGTGGAGTCAGGCAGCAGGAGGCTTTTGCAAACTCCTTAAGCCTCATCAAGGATACTTTAGCCCACAGTAAGAAGTTTTAAGAAAAGTACTAAAATAGTCAGATGGTGTTTTGATCTATTGCATTGATTGTGAAATGGAGAACAGATTGGAGAAGAACATGAGTAGGTTAAAAAAAGCATAGAGGTTATGGAAGGAGTCGTGGCAAGAGATTTTGATAGGTCAACCAGGGCTGTAACCATGGAGATTGAAAGAGGTAGAGAGACCAGATGGAGTGTTATTTAAGAGGCAAAACTGATACAACTTGGTGATTTACTGTGGGGGAGAAGAAGGAACCAAGGAAGACTCTCGGGTTTCTAGATTAAGCTGCTGGATCTCTATCCAGATTATGTTACATTTCCAGGAAGGATTTGATTTTTATATTCCCAATTAATGTTTAGGATTACATTGATACTCCACTGTTTAATGTGATTGAGCCATATGTAATGAGAACAAATGTAGTGATAGCTCAAATCAAGTGTATGGGCTTTTAAAATATTGTATTTAAAAGAATTTGTGGGATTCCAAAGACATACAAGCTATACAATTTTTTACTATAATAATGAAGACAAATAGCAGATTGTGGCACTGACTGTAATAATAATTCTGCTGCTATCCAACACTTTGTACAGCCACTTTTTAAAGGCAGCTTTTGAATTTGCTCTTCATTTTCCTGAGGATAGTAAGATTCACGTCT